TTCATTGTATCCAAACATGAACTGCCCTCACTCGTTTGCACAGGCACGGTCATAAAACTTGAATAAAATGTATGTACTCTAAGGCAGCTCTGTGTCATTCTGTTTGCTTGACATGTTAAGAACTGATGCGGTGTAATAGTTGCATAATCAGAGGAGATGTCAGGTCTTATGGGTTGAATGTGTTATTTCAACTACTGAGAAAAAAATTATACTTTATTTGAATAAACTTTTAAGGGTAGAACACTGGTAGTTTAGAATTGTTGCTACCAAGCACACTTTGATATGTAAACTAGGTAAGTTGGGGCTCAAACCAGCAGTCTTTTATTTCAAGGACAACACCACTACTTCCTGAGCTACACTGAACATTAACGGATCATACAGACTGGACATGGATGCATTGGAGCTGCACTTTTAAATCTTTCGGCTGCTCCCTTCCTCAGGGGTCGCCACAGTGAACTAACTCGTACAAAGACTTGGCAATTATTTTTACGCCAAATTCTCTTCCCGAGACCACCGGGCTACCAGGGGGCAGGGAGCTGCTATCTAGGGCGCCCGGGTGAGCAGATGGTGGGGGGTTAAGGGCCTTGCTTAAGGCCCTGAGTGGGGCAAATGAGGGTGGAGGCAGGTGTGGGCGTTTCACCTTTCCAATCCACATTTTGATGATGTCAGAATGGGGAGTTTGAACCGGCAACCTTCTGATCACAGGCCCAACTTCTCTAACCGCTTCACCACCACTCCCCCATTATTGCATTAGAGCTGCACAAAAGGTAAAAAAAAATATTGCCATTGTAATACCTGTGCGTAATATTAACATTGCAAAAACAAAACTGCTTGAATGCATGTATTTTACAAACGTCCTGTAACTCTAACGCGCATGTAAAGTTAGTTGTACTCACATATCACTCACGACTCTCGCTTGTTCTGGTGTCAAAATGGCTGTTTTACATCTGCACTTGAGCTACTGAACAGTAAGAATCACTACCGAGAAAATGAACGAGCTACTCAGAAGGCACGGCACCAGAAGAGTCGCACAGGAAGTAGCCTGTTCATACATACTCACCAACTCACCGGTTGGGTTCAGGCATACCATCGGCTGAACAAGTTATCCACTCTACCTCGCTTCGTCAGCGTAACTCCTCACTTATCATAAACTACTTGTTTTTATTTGCAATACTTCTTTTGATTTGAGCTACAAAAAGCCCTAAAAAGGATGAGTCCAACATATCCTACAAAAAGCACGCTGTGGATTAGTGCACTCTTTACTTTTGATGAGAGGTTGGATATTAAAGGATTAAGGGCGATACCATTTTAATCAGAAGATTGATTTCTGAAATGATACATTTGACAGCCATCACGATGGCGATGAAGGCCAAGTGAAGGGCAGAGCAGACCCCGTCAACATTACAATGCAGCATTTTGAGTTGGATCATGTGACACAAACAGATATTCTGAAGAGAGCTTGATGGAAACCTTTGAACCGTTAGGTCAGGGGTCTGCAACCTGCGGCTCTAGAGCCACGTGCGGCTCTCTGGTCCCTCTGCGGCGGCTCTTTCAAGCTTTGACCAAAACTGACATGAAACTGAATTTTATTGGTTGTTAAAACAACAACTAACAGGAATATTAGCAGTTTTCCTGTAATTTATTTAGCAAATATATGAATAGTAGAAACATTACAAGGAATTAAACACTCACTTTCACTTTATGGTTCATTTCTTCAAAGTAGGACATGGAATTTTTCCCCAATTTAAAAGAAAAATCACATAAGAACACAGGTTATTGTTTTAGATTTTAGAAACTGGGTAAAACACATATTTTTTTCCTTCTTTACAAGAATCTCATCTTTTATTTTGTCTTAGAGTGTAAAAATATCAATAAATGTTAAAAATCATTAGATATTTTTAGTGTTATAAAATCACTCCTACTGTCCAGAAAAGTGCCCTCCAACAAACTTAAAGTGGTCCGTGGGCCACCAGTTGAGAATCCCAGTTGCAGCAGGTATTGTGGCTCCGGACGCGTTTAATTTAGTGAACAAAGGGGCAGAAATGGCGTTTTTGATCGTAATGGTTGCAGACCCCTGCGTTAGGTTGTACCTTTATAAGAATATGAGTCAACAGGAGTAGGAAACAAAACAACCTGCTGACAAAAAACTGATAAAACTCTACAAGTGGATGTCTAGTCCTGCGTGGCTCGTCCTTCCCCCTCATGGACTCAGTCCCAACTCTTCAATGACATGCACTGCTGAAATGGCAAAATAAAGATCGCATGTACAGATGGCTTTTTGACAACATTTGCAACTGTTCTTCTTTCTCAAACTCAAACGACATCCACCAAGGACAAGACTAAATCAGATCTCCCCCCACCCCCTGCCCCCTCCTTCCCTCCCATCATAAAAGTATACTGTGATCCCACTTCAGGCCTTTCATTGCAGATGTCACCCAGCCTCGGGCATCCCCGAATCAAGATGGTAGCCTCAAATGGAACGGCGTCTTGCAAAAGGAAAGCAATAAAACAACAACATAATTGGCATCCCGTGTGGAAACGTGCCGAGCTGTGTCATCGTAACTTCATGTAGGCATGGCGGCCTCACAACTGGGAGCTAATAAACACCTTGTCGATGCAGGAAGGTGTCAGCTTTACACCCAGGACGAAGAGTGTCTCCAGGAGAAATGAGACCGCGTCATAAGCCAGCATTAGCCCACTCTCTAATAACGCCGCTGGTCATGTAAGCGTGGCTGTGAGGGAAGCGAGCCTGCGATCAGTCACCAACGCTGCCGTCTACGCCATCACCGCCCACTCCCGTCTCAACTGCTCCTGTCTGCTGTCAAATTCAGGCTCAAGCTGATTCCTTCCATGAATTATGAATGCAACTGCACTCTTAGATCGATCTTGTTGTTTTGCCTCTCCGTTCCATCTACATGTGATTAGATTACGAAACACACTAAGATCTAAGCATATGCCTCCCTGGAACTGCTGTGCGGAGCTCAGATTTCCCATGATATTTGATGCTCTGCATTAAATTGACCACTATGTAGAGGTTTGGGTTATTGCACGCATTGATCAGTGAGCTGTAATTCAATACAGGATGTCAGTAGCTGTGTAACTCTGTAGGACAGGAGGGCCATTTGCAATACGCCACCGCGCTGCAAGGCACAAAGGTGAATCCTACTGATGGCTGTATGACCAAGGTCAGCCACGGCACATTTATTAAATGAGGGCAGCCCACACCGTACACGGACAAAGCTCATCACACTGGAGCGACCCTCTCGGCTGAGGCAGACTGGCTAGAATTAGCCGAGCAGAGCCCCCCCCCCCACACACACCTTCACCAAAGAAATTCACAGCAAAACTTGAAAACGGGGATTTTAAGGGCTGGAAGCGGCATCAACACGCCAACAGCAGCGGATTATCCGAAACACTCAGCTTGATAGGGTCAGATGAAAGTCACTTAAAAAAGCACTAAATCATCACTTTGATGGGCAAAGATGCTCGCTGCGCCACACCCTTGCCCCCACCCCCATGTGACATCTCAACATGTATCATCTTACCCATCAGAGTGGACTGTGGCAAACATTCAGAGGCATCCTGCTCTATGTGGCCGCCCGCTCCCTCCGGTTATTTATAACATATTGGAGCTACAGCACTTTATGAATCACCGCAGGCGCAGCATCACTCCATCCCCAACATTCTGCTGCACTGGATTCCGTGTCGTTTATATAAATACTTTTGGAAAAGATGCTCGTAGGAGGCAGAGCTGCACGGTGAAGCTGGAGGAACTCCTGCCAACGTTGCCACAAACAACAAACAGACGGAGTGAGGCACCAAAAACGCACAAGTTTCATCCCTCGTCTCATATTGTCGCAGTTGAAGCTAAATATAGACCCCCCCCCCCCCCTTCTTTTTCTGTCATCTTGTTGAAAACAAAGAGTCCCTAGATTTTTGGAGAAGAAAAAAACTGCATATCTGCAGAATCCTGCTCTCTCTCTCTCTCTCTGTCTCTCTCTCTGTCCTGCCCAGATACCACACAGCCTTCTCTTTTTTCCCCCTTTTCCATTTTATTTATTTATTTATGTGTTTATTTATTTATTTATTTATTGTAGATGAATAAATGGCAGGATAAGGGACTGGTCACGACTGCCTCACACTTGCACACATCGAGGAACGTTATCTTGGCAGAGCCCACAAATGAAGGCTTTAAGGCAACATTTGAACACGCAACATTTGAACACGCACACATCCACACACCCTCCCTCACGCACTCGTACCGTCTCATCCGCGGGACAATTAAATTAAATGAACGCTGTAAGACTTCACAGAAAGAAACAGAGAGGTTCGGATGATAAGACGCGCACTGAACGGACACGAAGGTGTGCGCCTGCAGAGGACGCGCCTAACCGCACTCCAGTCCTCATCTTGATTTCTCCGCGTCCTGTCTCATTCCGCCTTGAACGTCGCATACATGGCGGGTAGCCCCATCCCCGTTCTTTAGCTCCAAAGAATCTACAAAGAGACGCTTTTCTGTTGAAGAACGAAACAGAGGGAGATGTGCCTGCATCCCGCATCCTCATCCATCCATCCATCCATCCATCATCCATCCTTGGCCCCGTGCCACAGTCATACACCGCACAGAGCAGACAACAAACGCAACAACACACAAAGAGGCGCGTTTCGGGGCTGACATGTACCTGCTGGAGCCCTCACAGCGTCCAACCATGCTGTCGCATCTCTCCGCCGCGGACGGAAACTCCCAGCCTCCAACACTCAAATTAAGACCTCAAGTCCATTCCACCGGAAATTCAGCTGTCAGTCAAAAATTAAACAGACACCAGCCGGAGGGGGGGGGGGGGGGGGGGGGGGGGGGGGGGTGATGCTGGTTTCCGTTCCTCCAACAGCAGCAGTAAGAAATATCGGAGTTTAAATCATAAGCCCAGAGATGGAGGTGCGCGCGGACCGGTCCTCCCTGCGTCCTGACTGGACTGCTCTCCCCCCAAACCTCCTCCCAGCTCTGGCGCGTCCCGCTGGGTTTTATGGAGTAAAGACTGGATTCTGGTGGCAGGTGGAGAGACGGAGAACAACTCCCACGCACGAGCTCCTTCCTTGATGCAGCCTCTCGGTGTGAGCGGCAGCACGCGCTGTGACTGGCTGGCGTCAGAGAGAGAGGCACGAGCTGGAAGGAGGGTCGGAACCAGCCCGGCATCCGGCTGAACAGTGCGTGCGCGCGCGCGCTGTTTGTGTGCGAGAGTCTAGAATAATTTGCAACATTCCTCGTTTAGCCCAACAGTTTATCTGTCATCCTGCTGCGGAGTTTCTTTTAATCGGCTGGCGCGCGCGCGCACACGCACTGGAATGTATACGCGCGCTGATGAGCTGAAAATGATTTTGTAAAGAGGAAAGTGCAACAAAATCCCCCATGTAGGTATGTTCAAGATGAGCAGCAGAAACGGTTTAAATGAATTAAAGGAGAAAGAACCAATTTATGTCTGAGACTGGGGGGGGGGGGGGGGCCCTTTCTCAAACTCAGATTGACAGGTATCCAGCGGCGCTGGTCCATGGGGGCGAGGGGTGGGGGGCGGAACCCTCCCAAAAATTTAATCACCCCAAAAAGTAGTTCCTCCTCATAAATTATGTAAATAACTTGTTTACTGCTGTGTCTTGTTTTGCTCTGTGTATTTTTCAAATCTTTTGACAGTTTTAAATTAAGACAAGAGATCAAATAAGAACTTTATTGATCCCACAGGAAATTGTTGTGCCAGAGTCTCACAAAGGAACGTACACAAGGAATCAAACAATATATGTATAAAAATAGCAGAATATAAAAATACCAACCGTTAAGTTCTAAAACAGGTCAGGTGCAGACAGAAACATTAAAGTGTTTAATTAATTTTATTGTGCAGAAAGGGGGAGGAGTTGAAACGTTTGAAGGACTTCCTGTGTTGTTCTGTGGAGCACCTGGTGGTCTCAGTCTACGACTGAAGGTGCTGCGGTGAGAGTCCAGGGTGTCATGCAGGAGGTGTGACGTGCTGTTCAGGATCTGGAGCAGGTTCCTCAGACACCTCTGTCAGAGACTGCAGGTCCACTCCCAGAACTGAACCAGCTCTCTTCATGAGTTTATCAAGTCTGTTGGCATCAGCTTTCTTCACCTGCTGCCCCAGCACACCACAGCGTAGAAGAAGGTGCTGGAGACCACCGAATGGTAAAACATCTGCAGCATGGTCCTGCAGATGTTAAAGGACCTGAGTCTCCTCAGAAGAAAAAGGTGACTTTGCCCTTTCTTGTAGAGGGTGTTGGTGTTCGCTGTCCAGTCTAGTTTATTGTCTGGTGGACCCCCAGGTACTTGGAGCAGTCCACAGTGTCCACCTTGGTACGCTCGATGTTTATAGTGTCGGGGTGGCTGATCTTCTTCTTGTAGTCCACCTGCAGCTCTGTAGTTTTTCCAATGTTGAGTTGCAGGTGGTTCTGTCCACACCACTCCACAAAGCTGTCCACCATTTAATTCAATTTACTGTAGTGGGATGCTTCCATTCAGAGAGCCACGTTCATGAAGCAGGTCAGAACATGTCCGTGTTCAACAACCAGCTCCAACAGAGTCTCATTTGGGGCATGAGATTTTCTGCCCTGTGGGCACATTAGGCTGGTTTTAGCTCATCATCACGACCAGTAACACCTGACCTGACGTGAGCTCAGGCACAGGATTACCTGCAGCAAAGCCTTCTGTGTTGTGGAGATATTCCGATTAAATCCATTTAGAGCTGACAGCAGGAACCAGAACAGAAAACTCAGGCGTACAGACTAAAGCAGGACGTTTTGAGTAACCACGTCGCTCTAACAGTACAGCTGATAAAATCCAGACTTGATCCATTCTCCACGTTTTACACCTAGCATGTAAGCTGCAGGGGAAACAAAAAATATAGAAGTAATGACTAATTATCTAACTAATGCCACTCTGCCTGAAACTTGGTTCTGTTTTAATGTAGTTGAACTTGAAGAAAATATCAGTTATCGGCATAATTCAACCAAAAGCCTCCCCATAACCCTCCTCAAATGAGAAAAGCCTTCAAAAATATTAGTCCAGCATTAAAATTTGTCTCCGTCTTTCTTAAAGTCTTCCTGTACAAACCACAAGTCACTCAAGCATCACAGCTACATGTGAATGTCATCAGCATCAGTTCATGCATGACCAAGGCACCTTTGGCTGAAACCAGCCGTTGTTCTGTCCTTCAGGGATAAACCGATGAAGGGTGGGGAACAGGGTACCTACCTACCTACCTACCTACCTACCTACCTACCTACCTACCTACCTACCTACCTACCTACCTACCTACCTACCTACCTACCTACCTACCTACCTACCTACCTACCTATCTATCTATCTATATGGATAGATAGAAATGTATATATATATATTTTTTTTTTTTGCAGATCAGCACTGTTGGATCGTATACCTGGATTATTGAGCATGGACTTTGTTGTTTTCAACCAGTTTGACACAACTGTCAACAAAGAAGAGGGCCAGCAATGGAGGAGGGGGCGTGCCAAAGACACCATCTCAGCACCAACATAACTGGTTTGTTCCACTTTGGAATAAGCTGTTGGGGAAAGAATCAGTTTTGTTGTGTGTTTCCTTGACTGATGAAGCCTTCTGGATCCAAGGCGAAATGTTTCAGCACAAAAAAAGAAACTGTCCAGATGACCTGACTGAAAAATGTTGGATTGTATACCTGGATTATTGAGCATGTACTTTATTATTAATCTTTAAACTGTTTATTTACTCAGGATCCCATTTGGATCACAACTCTCTTCTGCAAAGGAGGGCGGGGCCTCAAGGCAACCTAATATGTATGCTTTTAGACTGTGGGAGGTAACCAGAGTAAAACCCAGGGAAACCCCACACAAACATGAAGAGAACATGCAAACTTCACACAGAAAAATTAGACTAGAAAGAC